GTTTGTGCGCTAGGAACATACTATCCCTCTCTACTACAGTCTGTGCTCTAGGAACGTACTGTCTCTCTCTATTACAGTTTGTGCTCCAGGAGCGTACTATCCCTCTCAATTATAGTTTGTGCTACAGGAACGTACTGTCTCTCTCTATTGCAGTTTGTGCTACAGGAACGTACTGTCTCTCTCTATTACAGTTTGTGCTACAGGAACGTATGGTTCAGAATGTAATAATTTCTGTCATTGTTTGAACTATGATAAATGTGATGTTATAACTGGTCAATGTCCTAATGGATGTCAGACAGAATGGTATGGAGGTAACTGTAATACTAGTAAGTCTAATTCCATTTTTAGGATTAATTGATAAAAAGGATATAATTCTGTTTGATTAACCAATTCCTCTGTAAACGCCTCTTAACCAGCATTTCACGGGTAATATTGTTGCACGACCTCCAGCCAAAATAACGTAATTTACTATAAATACGGATATAGATGTAGTAAACTATGTAACAAGAGACATTGTAAAGGATCACAACACTGTCATCATATAACAGGACAATGTACTGATGGTTGTAAACCCGGTTATAGAGGAGATGATTGTACATTGAGCAAGTTTTGAATCGAACTGTCTACATTTATCAATGATAAAATATCAAGAAATCTCAGTCCTATATAAAATTCTTTATATTATATTTCAGGTTGTCAAAGTGGTAAATATGGAGATAGATGTAGTAAACTATGTAACAATAGGCATTGTAAAAGATCACAAGAATGTCATCATATAACAGGACAATGTACTGATGGTTGTAAACCCGGTTATAAAGGATATGATTGTACATTGAGTAAGTTTTGAATCGAACTGTCTACACTTATCAATAACAAAATATCAAGAATCAGTCACATATAAAATTCTTTATATTATATTTCAGGTTGTCCAAATGGTGCCTATGGAGATAAATGTAGTAAACTATGTAACAATAGGCATTGTAAAGGATCACAAGAATGTCATCATATAACAGGACAATGTACTGATGGTTGTAAACCAGGTTATAGAAGAAATGATTGTATAAAAAGTAAGTCTGTCTTGATTTTAACAGAATACATTTCCCTGAAACTTATATAATAACAAGGATTCACAGTCTCATATATGTTTTATTTTAGAATGCCAGAAACGTGCCTATGGAGATATATGTAGTAAAGGATGTGACAATAGGCAGTGTAAAGGATCACAACACTGTCCTCATATAACAGGGAAATGTTATAATGGCTGTACGCCCGGTTATAGAGAGGATGACTGTACAGTAGGTAAGTAAACCAGGTTATAGAGGAGAAGATTGTACAGTTGGTAAGTAAACCAGGTTATAGAGAAGATGATTGTACATTAGGTAAGTAAACCAGTTTATAGAGAAGATGATTGTACATTAGGTAAGTAAACCAGGTTATAGAGAAGATGACTGTACAGTAGGTATGTAAACCAGGTTATAAAGAAGATGATTGTACAGTAAGTAAGTAAACCAGGTTATAGAGGAGATGATTGTACAGTAGGTAAGTAAACCAGGTTATAAAGAAGATGATTGTACTCGAGGTAAGTAAACCAGGTTATAGAGAAGATGATTGTACAGTAGGTAAGTAAACAAGGTTATGAAGAAGATGATTGTACAGTAGGTAAGTAAACCAGGTTATGGAGAAGATGATTGTACAGTAGGTAAGTAAACCAG